CACATACACACAGTACAAACTCAAATGAGACGAAGTGCATATAAGATTGCTGTTGAGTTGATAAGATCATTAAATCTATTGTTATCTTATAATAAGTTTGCTCACAGCAATTCCAAGCATTAGAAAAGTCCCTATGACAAAGCTTTATAATAGAAGGGTATCATAAAATAAAAAAATTTCTTACTCTTCTAAAGCATTCATATTTGTAGTTGTAGACAGTACGACAGAGAAATGTAGCCTGAGCAACAACTTAAGGCTAATTACTCTACAACAGTAACTGACAGTGAATTACCACATAAGCTAGCCTTTAGAGTGAGGGGTGGGCAAATGATTTAAAACTAATCTACTACTAATATCTACACTAATATTAGTTACCTTAAGGAGACTATTGTTTGCGGGTATTTAATTTAGCGAATTTTAGCGATTTTAAAAAATTCGCTAACTTAAGTCCGCGCTAACTTTATAACCCTAATAATAACTTTATTGAAAGCGGGTGTGGTCACAATTAAAATGGCGGCCGTCAGCAAGTCTGAGCTTATTTGCAGCAAACGGCCAGCAAGATAATACTAAACTGCTGTCCAAAGACTTCTCTAGCAGTTAGCCTAGGTTAAAAAGCAGATGACAATCTTCTTCATTCAGTGACTACTTCTAACTGTAAGCAATTTAAGCAAGTCTAGCAAGATTAATGCAACAAGATCTACTGTATATATATATTTAGATTTGTGCAATTGCTTTGCTTGCTCATAGATCATAGCACAATCTATAGCTTGCTTAGGCTTGTCCCTCTAATGTTTTACATTCTTCTAGTAGTTATTAATACCAAATGATCAAAAAAGCTAAATTAAAGGGACACATGCACGGAAGCACGTCATCTTGAAAAACTGGCCCGTTTTTCAAGATGACATCATTAATGATGACGTTTAGTGTTGATAACTATTCATAACGTGCGGCCGCGCCCCCTAATAATTAAGGCAAAATGGCTACTCGAGTGGCTACTTGTAAATATTCCTGGTGTTTCTTCACTAAAAAGAGTATCTTGGGGTGGCAAAAGAGCTAATTCTGTTCGAGAGAAGTGTTCTACAGATACCTACTCCTGGTTCTGCGACTGATTGCTGTCTCTACTCTCTACGCGTGTCTAAACACGTGTCATAACTATTAATTAATGATCTGTTGCACGCCCAATTTAATGTTTACTTCCTCTACAGTAACGTGTGCATTCTATTTCCGTGAACGTGTCCCTTTAAGTACCAGCCAAATGTCAGTTTCATGAAAACCGCTAGGGATCCT